TCAGCCTCCTGAAATACTTTAACAAACCCAAATTTATAATTAACACAAATTTATGTATAAAAGAAGGTAAGTCATGACAAAATAATCATACTGGAAAGTGTGCTTAGGTAAACCAAAATGTATCTGAATTCAAAACACCTGGCTTACACCCAGAAGATTTCATATTAATCTGACCACTTTGAACCAAAACTAACAAAACTCAACAATTACATATATTTAAATGAAAGCCTTCATTCATAAAAAGTACAGAAGATAGAAATTCAATTAGGTGCTATAGAAATAGTACTGTAAGGGAACAATGCCAAGAATAATTTTTAAAGTATAAAAAAAGCAAAGCCACGAGATAGTGATGCTTTGTAGTTTTCATTTACATTTCCCTAATGATTAATGACGTTTGAGTATATTTTCATGTACTTATTTGACAGTTGTTTATCTTCTATAGATAAGTGTCTATTCGACTCTTTTGCCTATTCATTTATTGGAATGTTTAATTGAATTTTGTGATATTTTCTATATTTTAGATACAAGTACTTATCAGATATGATTTTCAAACATTTTCTCCCAATCAGGGACTTGTCTTTTCATTCTCTTAACAGTGTCTTTATAAGACCCAGAGTTTTTAACTTTGACACATTCCAAATTACTGATTTATTCATCTAAGAAATCTTTACCTAACTCAAGGTCACAATTTTGCTCTCCCATGTTTTCTTCTACAAGTTTTACAGCTTTAGGTTTTATATTTACATCTATGATCCATTATGAATTGCCTTTTGAATTGTCTTTTGTACATGGTACAATATATAGATCACAGTATGTAATTGTGTATATGAATATCTACTTGTTTCAGCATGATACACTGAAAATACCATCTTTTATACATTGAATGGCTTCTGCACCTTTGTCAAAAGTCAGTTGTCCAATATATGTAGGTCAATTTTTAGGTGGTTTATTTTGTTCTTTTGATCTGTTCTTCTGCCTTGATGCCAGTAGCACACTGTCTTAATTACTATGGGTTTGTAAGAAGTCTTAAAATCAGGTAGTGTTTGTCATCCATTTTGTTCTTTCTCAAAGTTGTTTGCATAGTCTAGATCCTTTGTATATTTACATGAATTTTAGAAACAGCATTTTACTTTCTGTTAAAACTATATCAGTTAGGATTTTTATTGGGATTGTTCTGAATATATAGATCAGTTTAAACAGAACAGGCATCTTAACAATACTGAGTTTTCCAACTCATGAAGACAGTATGTCTCTCTATTTATTTAGGTCTTCTTTAATTTCTCTTTGCAATGTTATGTAGTGTTCACTATACAGACCTGTCACATATTTGGATAGATTATTCCTAGTTATTTCATATTTCTTGGTGCTCTTATAAATGCCAGTATTTTGAATTACATTTTTCTTTTCACTGAGCTGTCAGCTGCCAAATGTTTAACAGTAGCTGTTAACTAATCTTCTAGGTTGAGATCTCAGACTATAAAATGGAAAAGGTACCTGATACTTAGCAGGCATTTGCCTGTGTTTCCATGTCAGCTTTCAGAAGTTATTGAAAATATACTGTAACTAGAGGAAAAAAGTCCCAGAGACAAATCAACAGGTCATCTCCAGAAAAATCCATCGTAAAATAGTTTAGTAGATTTCAACTTTATATGTGGTCAGAATTGAATCTATTGAATTGTGGGGTTTGTTACCTACTCCCCACCACCAGCAATCCATCTCAGTGAATTCCTGGGATCTTGGGTGTTGAGAAAGAAAGAGAGAGAGAGAGTGAACATATATGTATGTGGATATGTATGTGTGTATGAATGTGTATATTGCTGAAGCTGCCAGAAGTATTTATTGTGAGGAATACTTCAGGTTAATTACGGTGGTCATATCAGACCAGTTCAGTTCCTAGGACATACTAGAAAACAAATCAAAGTGATGGTTATTTTCTTTTCCGAGCTGTCTTGGCCCACATTGTTACCATGGTGACTCAGTGACTGCCATGAGATTTGGTGCAGAATGAGCATTCTTTTATGTTTTTTGCCTGAAACACGTATTATTATGATAGTTGTTAAGTGGCTGTTTTCCAATTCTGATATTCCTTCTGGAATTATCAGTTTGCATTTGAGAAAAAGATAGAGCTTTTTCTTCTCCCTTATTTATCAATGTATTTATTAACATTTATTGATGTCAGTGTGACTCAGATTCCCATGTTCCTCAAAGGGTTACCCTCTGTAATTATTAATATATATTTTTTGTATGAGGCCATTCTTGCCTTGTAATACAAAAATACCTGAGATGGTAATTTATGAAGACAAAGGTTTAATTGGCTCATGGTTCTGCAGGCTGGACAGGAAGTATGGCCCCAGGATCTGCTTAGCTTCTTGGGAAGCCTCAGAGAGCTTTTAATCATGGCAGAAGGCAAAGCAGTAGCAGGCATGTCACATGGCAAGAGTGGGAGCAAGAGAGACAGACAAGGGGAAGGTTTCAGACTTTTAAACAGCAGATGAATCAAAACCAGGGAGGTGAGGTGAGAGGTGTCTACATTTTGAGTAATTTCTTTTGTTGTTTCTGTTACTCATCCACGATTGAAAAGCAATGCTGTGGATGGCAACAAGGTCTATGAAAAGTTTAAATCCTTTGATGTCTAATTTCATTGTTAGTTGTTCCTGCTACTCAGCTTTAAATTTCTGTGTCTTGTCTTGTGTGTCCAGTAGGTAACAATTTTTTCAATTCAGTAATTCTTATTCAGTGATTAATGTATGAGACACTGAAGAAACATCACAGAGAATAAGAGAAGAAGAATCCCTGGAGCTATCATTCTAGTTTGGGGAAACTGGCAATAAGCAATCAATGAGTGAGGCAATTTCATATGGGGATTTGTGTTTTGAAGAAAATTAACAGGTAGAGTAGAAAATGACTGAGACAGGGATTATCATAGATGGGGTTGTCAGTGAAGCTCTTTCTCAGAAAGTGACACTTGAGCTGAGTCCTGAACAACAGAAAGAAGCTAGGCATGGAGAGGCCATTTTGTCAATGTCCCTGTGCTGTGTATGGGCACCATTGATCTAGGAGCAGAGGACAAGTTGGAGTGGCTGAAGCCTGGCCCATAAATGCAGACAAGTAGGAGATGAGGTTGAAAGGGCAGACAAGAGCCACAAGGTTTGGATCTTTTAAGGAGTTTGGGTTTTATTCTGAGTGTGGAAGGCTAGAGTATGGGAGTGACGTGATGTGATCCTTGTTTTCAGAAAGCGACTCTGGCCACTGTTTGGAGAATGGACTGGAGAGGGACAAAATAAAGAGTGGGGATAACCATTAGAAGAATATTGCAGAAATTCAGGGAAGAGGCACAGGTGAATGATGCCAGGACTACAGCTGTGTGCAGAGGAAGGGTTAGACCTGGACAGGTCGTGTTTGGAGGTAGGGCATGGGGGACCTGCAATGGCTGTGTGTGTGGGGTGTGTGGGGATAAGGCATAGTCAAGGAGGACCGCTCGGCTGTTTGTTTGGCCATGCAGAGAAATGGTGGGCTGTTTTCTGAGATCAGTTCTTCCAAGTGCTTCTGAGGCATTCTTTTTTTTTTTTTTTTTTTTTTTTTTTTTTTGAGACGGAGTCTCGCTGTATGGCCCAGGGTGTTCTGAGGCATTCTTAAGGTAATTAGTCAACCAACAGTGGTTGTAGTGAAAAAAAGTGATTTTAAAATGCATCAGTTGATGACTAATATTCATACCTGAGGGTAGACGGAAAGAGGAGAGTAAGGATTGAAAACTACCTACTGGGTACTATGCATATAACCTGAGTGGCAAAATAATCTGCACACCAAACCCTTGTGACACACGATTTGCCTGTATAACAAACCTTCACATGTACTCCTGAAACCAAAATCAAAGTTAAAAAATGAACAAAAGGGCGAGGTGGCGGGCGCCTGTAGTCCCAGCTACTCCGGAGGCTGAGGCAGGAGAATGGCGTAAACCCGGGAGGCGGAGCTTGCAGTGAGCTGAGATCCGGCCACTGCACTCCAGCCTGGGCGACAGAGCGAGACTCCGTCTCAAAAAAAAAAAAAAAAAAACAAAAATTTAAAAAATAAGTAAAATCAAAAGCTATATAAGGCAAAAATAGGTAAATTTGACAGCAAAATTAAACTATTATTTAACAAAAGATACCACAAACAAAAGTAGAGGACTCCAATAGATTGGAGGAAAATATGTCATTTTATAATAAAGAATGAGTATCTGGATCATAAATAAATAAATAAGAAAAAGGAAAAACAAGACTCATTTGTAAGACTATTAAGCTTTATTTAATTTATTGAATTGGCTTGATTTAATCTTTCCACAATGTAAACATATATCAAAACATTACAGTGTACCCCATAGTATATACAATTATTTGTCAGTTAAAATTAAAATTTAAAAAATACCCGAGTTGATAAATAGGATTCAGTTGCAAGACTATTAAACTTTCTTTCTCCACTATCTCTGCCTTAGAATTTTCAAGTTAATGTGATCCCTGGCCATTTATATTTTTAAAAACCAGAACACAGGGACTTTTTTTTTAATTTTAATTTTAATTTTAAGTTCCATGGTACATGTAAAATATGTTTTGTCCTGTATTGTAAGTACTATATAATCCTGGTTTTACTGACAAGACTTTGAGTGATTTTATGGTGAAATAACAGTATTCAAAGTCACAAGGTTTTTACATGGCAGAACTAAGGTTTGTCTCTAGTCTGTATACAGAGCACACACTCCTAACCAGTACACTTAGGAAGAAGAGACATATTTGTTGAACTATGTCAACCCATGGTGGTTGGTGTGACTTTGAGACCATAGCTCTTTTATCTGTGTTTCTGTAGTCATTCTACATTGTACCAGATGGTATTTATTTAAGAAAAAGTAATAATTTTAAAAATAAAAACATTAATAAACATCATAATTACTTTGTACTAGACAACTTGGCTGTTGATATAGATAATTCCTTGGACCCCCAAGATGAATGAGTTCTTTTCCCTTTTAGGAACTCAGAGTGGTTTTCCAGATGGGAATCACATTGCTCTCTGTCCCTGAGATCTTGCTGGAGACAGGGCTACTCAGTCCCTCTTTGCTGGGTGAGTATAGATGTGGTGTGGTGACTTACTCAAGGGTACCTAGAGTTAGTAGGATAAGTATGTCTCCTGTCTCATATCCAGCTGCATGTCCATTATACACAGCTGTATTAGTTTGTTTTCATGCTCCTGATAAAGACATACCCAAAACTGGAACAAAAAAAAAGGTTTAATTGGACTTACAGTTCCACATGGCTGGAGAGGCCTCAGAATCGTGGTGGGAGGTGAAAGGTTCTTCTTACATGGTGGCAGCAAGAGAAAATGAGGAAGAAGCAAAAGCGGAAACTCCTGATAATCCCATCAGATCTCATGAGTCTCATTAACTATCACGAGAATAGCACGAGAAAGACTGGCCTCCATGATTCAGTTACGTCTCCCTGGGTCCCTCCCACAACATGTGGGAATTCCGGGGAATACAATTCAAGTTGAGATTTCAATGGGGACACAGCCAAACCATATCATACCACCCCTAGCCCCTCCAAATCTCATGTCCTCACATTTCAAAACCAATCATGCCTTCCCAAGAGTCCCCCAGAGTCTTAACTCATTTCAGTATTAACCCAAAAGTCCATAGTCCAAAGTCTCATCTGAGACAAGGCAAGTCCCTTCCACCTATGAGCCTGTAAAATCAAAAGCAAGCTAGTTACTTCCTAGGTAGAATGGGGATAGAGGTATTGGATACACGCAGCCATTCCAAATGGGAGAAATTGGCCAAAACAAAGGGGTTACAGGGCCCATGCAAGTCCAAAATCCAGCAGGGCAGTCAAATGTTAAGGCTCCAAAGTGATCTCCTTTGATTCCAGGTCTCGCATCCAGGTCACACTGATGCAACAGGTGGGTTCCCATGATCTTGGACAGCTCCACCCCTGTGGCTTTGCAGGGTACAGCCTCCCTCCTGGCTGCTTTCATGGGCTGGTGTTGAGTGTCAGTGACTTTTCTAGGCATATGGTGCAAACTGTCAGTGGATCTACCATTCTGGGGTCTGGAAGACAGTGACTGTCTTCTCACAGCTCCACTAGGCAGTGCCCCAGTAGGGACTCTGTGTGGGGGCTCCAATCACAAATTTTTCTTCTTCACTGCCCTAGCAGAGGTTCTCCATGAGCGTCCCGCCCCTGTAGCAAACTTTTGCCTGGGCATCCAGGAGTTTCCATACATCTTCTGAAATCTAGATGGAGGTTCCCAAACTGCAATTCTTGACTTTTGTGCACCTGCAAGCTCAACACCACGTGGAAGCTGCCAAGGCTTGGGGCTTCCCCCGTCTGAAGCCACAGCCCGGGCTGTATGTTGGCTCCTTTCAGCCACAGCTGGGACACAGGGCACCAAGTCCCTAGGCTACACACAGCATAGGGACCCTAGGTCCAGCCCAGGAAACCACTTTTTTTTCCTGGGCCTCCACGCCTATGATGGGCCGGGCTGCTGTGAAGGTCTCTGACATGGCCTAAAGCATTGTCTTGGGGATTAACATTAGGCTCCTTGCTACATATGCAAATATCTGCAGCCAGCTTGAATTTCTCCCCAGAAAATGGGTTTTTCTTCTCTATCACATAGTCAGGCTGCAAATTTTCCAAACTGTTATGCTGTGTTTCCCTTATAAAACTGAATGCCTTTAATAGAACCCAAGTCACCTCTTGAATGCTTTGCTGCTTAGAAATTTCTTCTGCCAGATACCCTAAATCATCTTTCTCAAGTTCCAACTTCCATAAATCTCTAGGGCAGGGGCAAAATGCTGCCAGTCTCTTTGCTAAAACATAACAAGAGTCACCTTTACTCCAGTTCCCAACAAGTTCCTCATCTCCATCTGAGACCACCTCAGCCTGTATCTTATTGTCCATATTGCTATCAGCATTTTGGGCAAAGTCATTCAACAAGTCTCTAGGAGCTTCCAGACTTTCCCACATTTTCCTGTCTTCTTCTGAGCCTTCCAAACTGTTCTACCCTCTGCCTGTTACCCAGTTCCAAAGTTGCTTCCACATTTTCGGGTATCTTTTCAGCAACACCCCACTCTACTGGTAACAATTTACTGTATTAGTTCATTTTTACACTGCCGATAAAGACATACTCAAAACTGGGAACAAAAAAGGGTTTAATTGGACTTACAGTTCCACATGGCTAGGGAGGCCTCAGATTTACGGTGGGAGGCGAAAGGCCCTTCTTACCTGGCGGCAGCAAGAGAAAATGAGGAAGAAGCAAAAGCGGAAACCCCTGATAAACCCATCAGATCTCATGAGACTCATTAACTAGCACAAGAATAGCATGGGAAAGACTGGCCCCCATGATTCAGTTACCTCCCCCTGGGTCCCTCCCACAACATGTGGGAATTCCGGGAGATACAATTCAAGTTGAGATTTAGATGGGGACACAGCCAAACCATATCAACAGCATTAGCCGTGTTCATATCTGTAGTGCTTCACTTTTCAGGGGCTCAGTGGATATGTGCTTCTCTGAGGTTAACCTACAGATAATATATGGGAACACTAAGTATCTTCAAATAAGAAAAAATAGGGTGTTGGATTTTTTATGTAGCCTAAACTGTAATGGGAAATTAGAAGAAAAATTCCTAGAATCATACATCATGTTCTCTTTTGTAACTTTCTTCCTTCAGTCAACATACAGTTTGTGAGATTTACATTTATTGTTGTCTATAGTAGTAGATCATTCATCATCATTGGTGGATACTGTTACATCTAGTGGATATTTCACAGTAAGCATATCTGCTATGTGGATTTTTTCTAGTTTTTGACATTATGAATAACAGCGTGATGAATGTCTTGTACATATCTTTGGATAAACATTTATTTTTCTTTCTTTTGGGTGTGTACCTTTCCCAGACCTAAGAATGAAATTTCTGAGTTGTAGGATGTGTGTATGATCAGCTCAGTCAATACTGCCAGCACTTTTTCAAAGTAGTTGTTGAATTTGTATTTTCACCGGTGCTGTGAAAATTACACAGCTTCCATATCCTCACCAACACTTGGTGTTTTCCATCTTTTTAATTTTCTTTTTCTGGTGTAAGTGTGGTGGTATCTCATTATGGGTTTTAATTATACTTTAATTTCTCATTCACTCTCTGGAGTTTTAAATCTCTTTTCTCTCTTTGTTTTTGCTTTTCAATTTACATGTTCAGTATCCCTAATCTGCAAATCCAAAAGCCTCCAGTATCTGAAATTTTTTGATCATTGACATGATGCTCAAAGGAAATGCTCATTGGAGCATTTCAGATTTTGGATTTTCAGATTAATGATATTCAACCTGTATTTGCTTATTACACTGGATCTTTGGTTTGTGGAGTTTACATTCTCAATTTTGCTGATTGTATCCCCATTGTGCTGTTACTTACGTTGCTCTGGCCCCTCCTATTTCCTGTAAATTAGTAGAGTTAGAGGCTTCATCCAGTTCAGGATTTTTTTGGCAAGAGTACCTCGGATGTGTTACATATCCTATATCCTTACGCCAAGTCTTAGTTCAGGCTGCTTTACCAAATTACCACAGACTAGGTGGCTTAAAAAACAAGCATTTACTTCTCATGAGTCTGGAAGCTAGAAGTCTAATCAGGATGCCAGTATGGTTGGGTTCCTGGTGAGAATCCTCTTCCTGGTTGTGTCCTCACATGGCCTTTCCTTGGTGTGTGCATGCAGAGAGCAAGCAAGCTCTCTGTGTCTCTTCTTATAAGGACACTAATCTCATAATGAGGGCTCCACTTTGATGACCTAATTATTTCCCAAAAGTCCTATTTTTAAATACTGTCACATTGGAGATTACGGTTTCCACATATGAGTTTTGGGAGGACACAAGCGTTCAATTCATAGGCATACAAAGAACCTCATTGTGTCTGATTGTCACTCCTACCTTGACATTAAGATTGAGCACTGGGCTCAGGTGTTGTTAGACTGATCCATCCATTGTGAAATGTCCCATCTGCTTTTTACCTCATGATTTTTTACAATCTCTGATCTTTACCAAGATCTGCATTTCATTAAAAATTCTACAGTGATGGTGTTTAGATAGTACAATTTCTTCTGCATTTATTAGCTGGACATTTTCTATAAGAGAAACTCCCCCGCTTCAACCCCCGCCAACTATTAGGCTTAACTGAGGTATGGCACACACAGGAAAGGAAGGACAAATATTTAATCATTTTGCAGTATTTCCAGTTTTAAGAATAAGTATTGTTTCTGTAGGATCCTCCACAGATGAGCAGTGAGTTGGTTTTGTTTGAGTTTTTTCTTTTAGAGTGTCATCACGACTCAGAGATGTTTCTGTATGTGATGTGTTTTAACTCACTGTAGGCACTGTAATGTTTTTGATGCTTAAATTGTTCTTATTTGGTCTGTGGAAGTCCTATCAGGTTGGCTTCTGAGTCTTTTTGACATCTTCGCTGGTATGATCATTCAGTCCAGACTCATCTGGTACAGCTTGACCACAGACTTGGATTCGGCCATTTTTCCTTGTAGGTAATATTTTTAGAGGACTGAATCTGGGTACTAGAGTTGCTCATTGCTACTGGGTTGGCCATTGCTTCTTAACTTTTTCAGTGCATCAGACCAGTAAATAGGTATTATATTTTTAAGAGAATATACATGATCAGCTTCCATCCTGGGCTGCTACTCTGTTCCCTTATAAGTAATTATTTTTATCAGTTTTTGTTTTAACCGACTATTTTAAAGAATTTAATAGAATGTTACATGGCTGTTAGTTTTCTCCTCTCCTCAGAGGTAAAAGGTGGCATATCCAACCTCAGTCAAGTTTCTAGAAGCTCAGAGGTGTGGAGCATTTGAGATATCCCTTCTAAGGTGAAGGATAAATACTTGCACCTGGCCTCTCCTACAACCAAAAAAGAGGTACACCATCTGGTGGGCTTCTTTGGATTTTGGAGGCAACATACTCTTCATATGGGTGTGTAACTCTGACCTATTTACTGAGTAACACAAAAAGCTGCTAGTGTTGAATGGGGCCTAGAACAAGAGAGGGCTCTGCAGCAGGTCCAGGCTGCTATGCAAGCTGCT